ACGGTTGAGAGGCGGGACCAAAGAGCCAGAGCTCAACCCCTGCAAACACAACTAGGTGAGAACACACACACACACCACACACACACAGGTGGGGAGACGGGACACCACGAGCGTAGCTCTCATCCTGTAACTACACTTAGCTAATTACACTTAGGTAATTACACACACACACACACACACACACACACACACACACACACACACACACACACACACACACACACACACACACACACACACACACACACACACACACACATACATACACATACACACACACACACACACACACACACACACACACACACACACACACACACACACACACACACACACACACACACACACACACACACACACACACACAGGTATTCCCAAGGTATTTCACTCAGATGAGAAGTTTCCTAAGTGAAATACCTTGGGACACAGACCTCAGAGACAAGTCTGTACAGGGTATGATGGACTATGTTACCCAAAAGTGTCAGGAGGCAGTAAACAGGTTCATCCCGGCCCAAAGGGAAAAATCCGAGAAGCAACAGAAGAATCCATGGTATAATAGGGCATGTATGGAAGCGAAGAAACTGAACAAAAAGGCGTGGAGGAACTTCCGGAATAACAGAACACCAGAAAGCAGAGAGAGATACCAGAGAACCAGGAATGAGTACGTCAGGGTGAGAGGAGAAGCAGAGAAAAATTTTGAAAATGATATAGCAAACAAAGCCAAGACCGAACCAAAGCTACTCCACAGTCACATCAGAAGGAAAACAACAGTGAAAGAACAGGTATTGAAACTTAGAACAGGCGAGGACAGGTATACAGAGAATGACAGAGAGGTGTGTGAGGAACTCAACAAGAGGTTCCAGGAGGTCTTCACAATAGAACAGGGTGAGGTCACTGTGCTAGGAGAAAGGTAGGTAAACCAGGCGGCCTTGGAGGAGTTCGAAATTACGAGAGAGGAGGTCAAGAGACACCTGCTGGATCTGGATGTTAGAAAGGCTGTTGGTCCAGATGGGATCTCACCATGGGTACTGAAAGAGTGTGCAGAGGCACTTTGCTTGCCACTCTCCATAGTGTATAGTAAGTCACTAGAGACGGGAGACCTACCAGAAATATGGAAGACGGCGAATGTGGTCCCAATATACAAAAAGGGCGACCGACAAGAGGCACTGAACTACAGGCCAGTGTCCTTGACTTGTATACCATGCAAGGTGATGGAGAAGATCGTGAGAAAAAACCTGGTAACACATCTGGAGAGAAGGGACTTCGTGACAAATCGCCAACATGGATTCAGGGAGGGTAAATCTTGCCTTACAGGCTTGATAGAATTCTACGATCAGGTGACACAGATTAAGCAAGAAAGAGAGGGCTGGGCGGACTGCATTTTCTTGGATTGTCGGAAAGCCTTTGACACAGTACCGCATAAGAGGCTGGTACATAAGCTGGAGAGACAGGCAGGTGTAGCTGGTAAGGTGCTCCAGTGGATAAGGGAGTATCTAAGCAATAGGAAGCAGAGAGTTACGGTGAGGGGTGAGACCTCCGATTGGCGTGAAGTCACCAGTGGAGTCCCACAGGGCTCTGTACTCGGTCCTATCTTGTTTCTGATATATGTAAATGATCTCCCGGAGGGTATCGATTCATTTCTCTCAATGTTTGCGGACGATGCTAAAATTATGAGAAGGATTAAAACAGAAGAGGACTGTTTGAGGCTTCAAGAAGACCTAGACAAGCTGAAGGAATGGTCGAACAAATGGTTGTTAGAGTTTAACCCAACCAAATGTAATGTAATGAAGATAGGTGTAGGGAGCAGGAGGCCAGATACAAGGTATCATCTGGGAGAGGAAATTCTTCAGGAGTCAGAGAAGGAAAAAGACTTGGGGGTTGATATCACGCCAGACCTGTCTCCTGCAGCACATATCAAGCGGATAACATCAGCGGCTGGCCAACATACGAACGGCATTCAGAAACTTGTGTAAAGAATCATTCAGAACTTTGTATACCACATATGTCAGGCCAATCCTGGAGTATGCAGCCCCAGCATGGAGTCCATATCTAGTCAAGGATAAGATTAAACTGGAAAAGGTTCAAAGGTTTGCCACCAGACTAGTACCCGAGCTGAGAGGTATGAGCTACGAGGAGAGACTACGGGAATTAAACCTCACTTCGCTGGAAGACAGAAGAGTTAGGGGGGACATGATCACCACATTCAAGATTCTGAAGGGGATTGATAGGGTAGATAAAGACAGTCTATTTAACACAAGGGGAACACGCACAAGGGGACACAGGTGGAAACTGAGTGCCCAAATGAGCCACAGAGATATTAGAAAGAACTTTTTTAGTGTCAGAGTGGTTGACAAATGGAATGCATTAGGGGGTGATGTGGTGGAGGCTGACTCCATACACAGTTTCAAGTGTAGATATGACAGAGCCCGATAGGCTCAGGAATCTGTACACCTGTTGATTGACGGTTGAGAGGCGGGACCAAAGAGCCAGAGCTCAACCCCCGCAAACACAACTAGGTGAGTACAACTAGGTGAGTACACACACACACACACACACACACACACACACACACACACACACACACACACACACACACACACACACACACACACACACACACACACATGTAAAACAGAACCAGGTCTATTCTATAAATTCATAAACAACAAATTGCAGGTAAAGGATAATATTCAGAGGTTGAAAATGGGAAATAGATTCACGGAAGATGAAAAGGAAATGTGTGAAACACTAAACGAAAAGTTCCAAAGTGTGTTTGTACAAAATGAAATCTTTAGGGAACCAGATACAATAAGAATTCCAGAGAACAACATAGAACACATAGAGGTGTCTAGAGACGAAGTGGAAAAAATGCTCAAAGAGCTCGGTAAGAACAAAGCAGCTGGCCCAGATGGCGTTTCACCATGGGTTCTGAGAGAATGTGCATCTGAGCTCAGCATTCCACTTCACCTGATCTTTCAGGCATCCCTGTGTACAGGAATCGTAGCAGACGGGTGGAAACAGGCTAACATAGTTCCAATCTACAAAAGTGGCAGCAGGGAAGACCCCCTCAATTATAGACCTGTATCATTGACAAGTGTAATAGTGAAAGTATTGGAAAAACTAATCAAAACTAAATGGGTAGAACACCTAGAGAGAAATGATATAATATCAGACAGACAGTATGGTTTTCGATCTGGAAGATCCTGTGTATCGAATTTACTAAGTTTCTATGATCGAGCCACAGAGATATTACAGGAAAGAGATGGTTGGGTTGACTGCATCTATCTGGACCTAAAAAAGGCTTTCGACAGAGTTCCACATAAGAGGTTGTTCTGGAAACTGGAAAATATTGGAGGGGTGACAGGTAAGCTTCTATCATGGATGAAAAATTTTCTGACTGATAGAAAAATGAGGGCAGTAATCAGAGGCAATGTATCAGAATGGAGAAATGTCACAAGTGGAGTACCACAGGGTTCAGTTCTTGCACCAGTGATGTTTATTGTGTACATAAATGATCTACCAGTTGGTATACAGAATTATATGAACATGTTTGCTGATGATGCTAAGATAAATAGGAAGGATAAGAAATTTAGATGACTGTCATGCCCTTCAAGAAGACCTGGACAAAATAAGTATATGGAGCACCACTTGGCAAATGGAATTTAATGTTAATAAATGTCATGTTATGGAATGTGGAATAGGAGAACATAGACCCCACACAACCTATATATTATGTGAGAAATCTTTAAAGAATTCTGATAAAGAAAGAGATCTAGGAGTGGTTCTAGATAGAAAACTATCACCTGAGGACCACATAAAGAATATTGTGCAATGAGCCTATGCTATGCTTTCTAACTTCAGAATTGCATTTAAATACATGGATGGCGATATACTAAAGAAATTGTTCATGACTTTTGTTAGGCCAAAGCTAGAATATGCAGCTGTTGTGTGGTGCCCATATCTTAAGAAGCACATCAACAAACTGGAAAAGGTGCAAAGACATGCTACTAAGTGGCTCCCAGAACTGAAGGGCAAGAGCTACGAGGAGAGGTTAGAAGCATTAAATATGCCAAAACTAGAAGACAGAAGAAAAAGAGGTGATATGATCACTACATACAAAATAGTAACAGGAATTGATAAAATCGACAGGGAAGACTTCCTGAGACCTGGAATTTCAAGAACAAGAGGTCATAGATTTAAACTAGCTAAACACAGATGCCGAAGAAATATAAGAAAATTCACCTTCGCAAATAGAGTGGTAGACGGTTGGAACAAGTTAAGTGAGAAGGTGGTGGAGGCCAAGACCGTCAGTAGTTTCAAAGCGTTATATGACAAAGAGTGCTGGGAAGACGGGACACCACGAGCGTAGCTCTCATCCTGTAACTACACTTAGGTAATTACACTTAGGTAATTACACACACTCTCTCTCTCAAGTCTTCACAATAGAGCAAGGAGAAACCCCTGTACTATATGAGGAGACGGCAAACCAATAAGCAACCTTGGAGGAATTTGAGTTCACCAGTGATGAGGTCAAATGAACCTGTTGGAGCTGAATGTGACACAGAGACTCACTGTGGATACTAAAAGAGTGTGCAGAAGCACTAAGTGTGCCACTCTCTATGGTATATAGGTCGCGAATGTTACTTTATGGATACCAACGTTACAAATGCAACCTGTTATGAGAAGTAACAGCGCACAAATATTTACGTTTTCTATGCTTCGCAGTCGATAGCTTAGTTGGACTGCTTAGGTTTGTACGTTTCTGGTTAGGTTAGGAGGCTGGATCTTTTAGAGTGACAAATCAGAATAATGGGCTGGACTTTCAGTAGGGGCACCCCAAGGCCTTCCCTTCCCCATAGGAAACACCACATGTCGTAACCACCTTACTTCCGCATAATCACAAGTACCTAATTAGAATATCACCCATTTCTCTGTAATGAATTACTGTATATTATCTATTTTTTGTATTGGTAAATATTTGTATTTAATGTTATTGTCAGGAAAGGGTTGGAAGAACATTGGAGAGGCCGAACACAGCCACAGAAGAAGGACAGTTACTGACAAACTCGCTCCCTGATCACGTAAGTTATATTATTTTGTCTAGTCCTGGTATGTGTGTATAGTCCTGCTGGTAATTAGGTATAGTAGTAGTAGGCATCCATCAGTCGCAGGAGACTAGGTAGGTTGATATGGAGGAGAAGCTGTCACCCAAGCAGCAGGTTCCGCCTCTTCACAGCGCCGAAAGTCTCCAATGGAAAGGCATAGTCCTGGTACTTATGTATAGCCCTGGAACTTAGGTATAGTCCTGGTACGTACCTTGCTTTGATTCCGGAGGTCAAGGTCCCCGCGGCCTTGTCCTTGACCAGGCCTCCTCGTTGCTGGTCTGGTCAACCAGGCTGTTGGACACAGCTTTTTTTTTTTTTTTTTTTTTTTGAGATATATACAAGAGTTGTTACATTCTTGTACAGCCACTAGTACGCGTAGCGTTTCGGGCAAGTCCCTGGAATACGATCCCCTGCCGCGAAGAATCGTTTTTTCATCCAAGTACACATTTTACTGTTGCGTTAAACAGAGGCTACAGTTAAGGAATTGCGCCCAGTAAATCCTCCCCGGCCAGGATACGAACCCATGACATAGCGCTCGCGGAACGCCAGGCGAGTGTCTTACCACTACACCACGGAGACTGCTCACAGCCTGACGTATGAGTCACAGCCTGGTTGATCAAGTATCCTTCGGAGGTGCTAGAGGAGACAGGAGTTCGATAGGAACAACATAGCAACCATTAATATAGTAGAGAGAGAGCAGTTTCAATTGCCTGCAGGAATGGATCCAGACTTAATTCAAATTTAAATTCAAATGCTTATTCAGGTAAAGTACATACATACAAGAGGTTATACAAAAATTTATAGATTTATAGATAGAGCTAGTACATACAATGCTTAAGCCACTTAAAATTGCTCTGTATCTAGTGTTACCCAATATCCCAATCTTTATGTTCTTAATCCAAACAACTTTACCATTGTGATCATTGCTGTCTTCATATATGTGCTAGCAATATGCTGTATTGTGCCTATTAATCTTTGTTAAATTATTAATCAAGCTGGCAATGCTATCAATCAGAGCTATCGATGTGCTTTAATATACCTACTAATCTCTCTCATTTTTTTTCTTTCAATGTACCCATTAACATTTTATAAATTTTGCTAGAATTTACCTACTTAAAATTATCTGTTAGATTAAGGACCTGCCCGAAACGCTGTGCATACTAGTGGCTTTACAAGATTCTAAACACCATGCTATGTACCCTCATAAACTCAATGTACCTTCTTGTATATACATAAATAAATAAATAAATAAATAAATAAATAAAACTCATTTTCATAAATATAACACCTATGCTGAATAGTTATGAAATTTGTATTTTTTATGCAAGTCAGTATAACAAATGTCTTTACTATTTATATTCCACAGGCGAGGAGGAAGCCAAGGGTGACATTATGGTTGGTGGCGGCGGTGAGCGTGAGCATGCTAGGGTCTGGCCTGCCGGCTGGCTACTGTCTGGGGGTGATCAACACGCCACAGGAGGTGAGTCTCCTCCTCACCTCCTTCCTATCAATACACCATGTCATTTTCCTCCCTCATCACGGGTTACTTGTGCCCATGCCACCACTTATAGTGGCTTAATTGTCATCAATCATCCCCACCCTCATGCTCAGGCAGGCTGTGTTGACAGCAGCACACCTGCCGCTTCTCTTATTTTATTGTTTTATGTATTACACGATATCTTAATACGAGTCCCTGGTACGGGATGTCTTATTACATGTCTTCTGTACAGGATGTTTGAATACGTCCCCGGTACGGGATGGCTTAGTATGTGTCCCTGGTACAGGATGTCTTAATATGAGTCCCCGGTACAGGATGTCTTAATATGAGTCCCCGGTACAGGATGTCTTAATATGAGTCCCCGGTACAGGATGTCTTAATATGAGTCCCCGGTACAGGATGTCTTAATATGTGTTCCCAGTACGGGATGTCTTAATAGTTGTCCACGATACAGGATGTCTTTATACGTGTCCCTGGTATGGGATGTTTTAATACGTGTCCCTGGTATGGGATGTCTTATTAGGTCTTCCCATTACAGGATGTCATATTAGGTCTTCCCATTACAGGATGTCTTATTAGGTCTTCCCTTATACAGGATGTTTTATTAGGTCTCCCTGTTATGGGATGTTTTATTAGGTCTCCCCATTATGGGATGTTCTATTAGGTCTTCCCAATACAGGATGTCTTATTACGTCTTCCCGATATGGAATATTTTATTAAGTCTCCAAATAAATTAGATTAAATAATTAGATGAAAGGGTACATTGTAGCAAGGTTTTTTTTATCAACAAATAACTACAGCATAAGGTGACAGAGATGATTACACTGGTAAGGATATGTGTCGTAAGTACTAAGTACAGCACTAATATTGGGGAAGTGGGTAGTACAAGATACAGTGTGAGTTTGAAGCACAAGATAGGAAACTATGAGGATGAAATTAGGCACTTTTTTATTATACCTTTATTTTACTTTTCAAAGCCAACTGCTTTGACAAGCCGTTTGCTTCCTTGCCTCATTGAGGCCACCAGAATGTTAGTTGCCCTCAGGTAAAATTCAGGTAAGGTAAATTGAGATTTTGCTAGTTCAGGCCAATTTGCTACCTAAGTTTGTTAACAAAAAAATGATGAGTAGTTAGGATTATATGTATAGAATAACAGAATGAGATTAAAACAATCTGCACTGAAAGCTGCTACCTTACATTGAATAATTTCAGATAATTCGAGCTTGGGTGAAAGTTGTGATCCTTGAGAAGTATGGGCTGGAGCTCTCAGCCACTGCAGAGGTCTCACTCTGGGCCATCATCGTGGCCATATTTGTAGGTGGGGCGGCTGTGGGAGCTTCGTGTGGTGCCGGCCTCGCTGACAGGATTGGAAGGTAACCTTATCTCTGCTCATCATTATGTTCAAAACTTATAGTCATAGGTTTTGCTTTGCACAAAATCTACTGTACATGGGTACATTAGGTTTTGTACAAAAATCTTAGTACCATGTACAAAGCCTACTGTACATGGGTACAATAGGTTTTGTACAAAAACCTTTGTAAAATGTTCACAGCCTACTGTACTTGGGTACATTAGGTTTTGTACAAAAAACTTTGTACCATGCACAAAACCTATCGTACGTGGGTACAGTAGGTTTTGTTCTCGACTCACATTTTGGGATCTCGGGTTTGATTCATGGGCGGGACAGGAATTTACTTAAGGGCCACTAACACACTAATGGCCTCGACGAGGACAGGAAGCCGACAGAGAGTAATATGAAAAGATGAGAGAGTAATAAAGCATTATCAGGGCAGGTCAAGGTATATAATATCTAATTTTATAAAAAATGCCAAAGAGTTTTATAATTTTTTTAGTTATGTTTTTGTTGTCCCTGGAAATTCAACTTGTTATCAATTAGAACATTAAGGAACTTAGCATGTACTTGGTAAATTTGGATATTGTTAATTTATAGATTAATTTGATTCTTAGATTAACTAAGATTAATTTTAATTAATCAGGTCTGTCATTCACTACAAAACTCTTGTTTTTTTCTTGTTTAGACGTGCCAGTTTCTTAGTGAACCACTGGCTGTGTATTTGTTCTGCCTTACTGCTCATGGCCTGTAAAACATTTGGCTCAGTCGAGATGCTCATCATTGGTCGCTTCACATCTGGTCTTTATTCAGGTAAGGACTTTTATGTTTATGTTAATAGTGTACTTTATGTACAAACTAAATTTCCATAGTTATTCCATTAAGATTTGCTGGCTACGTTTGACCTATGGTCAAAGGGAGCCTGGGGCTGAGCGGACAGAACACTGGATGCGTGATCCTGTGGTCCCGGGTTCGATCCCAGGCGCCGGCGAGAAACAATGGGCATAGTTTCTTTCACCCTGATGCCCCTGTTATCTAGCAGTAAATAGGTACAGTACCTGGAAGTTAGTCAGCTGTCACAGGCTGCTTCCTGGGGGTGGAGGCCTGGTCGAGGACCGGGCCGCGGGAACACTAAAGCCTCGAAATCATCTCAAGATAACTTCAAGATGGTATGTATTTTTGTTATGAGCAACTTCACCTGTGTTTTGTGGAGCATATGGCCAGCATAACAATATGTTTAAACATTTACTTCAATTATTTAATGTTATTGAAATATAATTCATATTATTTACAAACACAAATACTGTATATATTTCTTATCAAAGGAATATATCCATGTTTGTAAATACAGTACTGTACTGTAATGTAAATAATATTTAAAAATAATTCATAACAGACTTACAGGATGTACTCACCTAGTTATACTCACCTAGTTGTGCTTGCGGGGGGTTGAGCTCTGGCTCTTTGGTCCCGCCTCTCAACTCTCAATCAACTGTTGTACAGATTCGGTATGTGGGATCATAGACTGTGTACATTCTTACTAACAGGATTATTTCACATGTAACATTTCTGCATGTTGTGAATGGATTTTTTAATTTCTTTCTAATCTGTTGGCATCCTATTACGTTTATGAAATAATTCCTTAATATGTGGTTGAAATGTTCTAAGTAATCCAACAGTGTGTTGGCACTCATGTTATTTATATTTCTGTGGGGAATCCCCGCAGAAATAGCCCCCATTCTATTATTATTATTATTGACACATAGTCAATAATAATAATAGAATAAACAATATACAAATCAGTAATAAAGTTGATAGTAAATTCCTGGGTGTCCTCATCGATAACAAGCTGAATTTCCAGGGACACATTCTAAATATAGCAAAAAAAGTTTCTAAAACTGTTGGCATTCTTTCTAAGATTAGGTATTATGTACCATGCCCTGCCCTGGTGACACTCTATTACTCTCTCATCTATCCTTATCTCAACTATGGTATGTGTGCTTGTGGTTCTACTACCCAAAATCATCTACGTCATCTAATTACCCAACACAAAGCTTCTATTAGAACAATATCTAACTCTGGCCCCAGACAACACTCGGTACTCTTACTCAAATCTCTGAATATGTTAGATTTTAAGTCACTACACATCCTCTCATGTGTACTCTATATATTTAAAACTCTGAATTGTAATGTCAATCCGGACCTTAAAAGCTTCTTAGAAAGTTGTAACAGAACCCATGGGCACCACACCAGAAACAAATACTTATTTGATATTCCAAGAGTACGACTTAATCAAACTAGAAATGCTCTACAAATCAAGGGACCCAGAATGTGGAATGACCTTCCCATTTATGTTAAAGACTGTACCTCTCCCAACCAATTTAAGATAAAAACTAAGCACTATCTAATTAACTCCCTGTAACCTACCTTACCCTTATAATGTCACCCCATGTCTGCTATTTTAAACAATGCTGTTTGTCGACCAAATTGTATATTTGCTATTTTTCTGCCATGTTCCCCCCTTTTTTATTTTTATATTTTCCCAACACAATTTATACTTTAATCTCAATTAGTATTAAGTTTTAGTCTTTAGTGTTTTTCCTGCCCGAAACGCTTTGCGTAATAGTGGCTTTAGGCATTGTATGTACTAGCTCTATCTATAAATCCATCAATGTTTGTATCACTCTTTGTATGTATGTACTTTACCTGAATAAACATTTGATTTTGAATTTGAATTTGAAATTACCTCAGCTAGCATAATAGACACTGTGATCCTCATGGGACATTCATAAAAAGAGTTCAACAGGTGACTTGCTTAGTGTTCCAAGTGGTGTTGCATCCTGAGAAAAGCATTCATGTCTTATTTCCAGAGCATCCTTCTGCATGAGTACAGTCTTCCTCTTTCATGAGCAGTTGCATGAATCACTTGACTTCTTGTTTGCTTGTGGGTGTAGTGGCATCGCACGATGGTATTTGAATCCAATATACTCAGCAAAGTTGCTGAAGCTTTGTCCAATGCCAGTCTTGACAACTTCAGATATACTAAGACTTGAAAAGATCTTGAAGAGTTTAGTGATGACAAACTTTGCAACTGTAGAAGTGATGATTTCAACTTCTGGCTGACATGAGTGGTCATCAATAGCTACCATCAGGTACTTTCAAGTTGGCACTGGTCCACAGAAGTCCATTGATATTTCTGTTAGTAGTGCACCACATAGTAGTGAAGGTTGCTGGCTTTTTCAGTATCCACCTCACCTTGGCAAGGAACTCAGACATCATGCATGTCCTTTGCTTGACAGTCAGTGCCAGGAGACAATACATTTTCACATAGCTGTTTGGTCCATATAAGGCCATGGTGTCTTCGATGTGTGAGCCTCAGAGCGTTCTACCGGAGAACTGTTGGGATGACAATTCGAGTACCTCACAGCGTACCTGTGAGTACCTCACAGACAATTTGAGTAAAGCCAGAAACTAACCAAAACTACTCCACAGCCACATCAGGAGGAAAACAGCATTGAAGGAACAAGTGATGAAACTGAGTAAAGGGAAGAACAAATACACAGAGAATGACAAGGAGGTGAGTGAAGCATTCAACAAGAAATTCCAGGAGGTCTTCTCTCTAGAGTGGAGAGCCCTCTGAGCTTACTGACTTATAGATTCTTGCATGTACAAGTACATGATTCCAGCTGATACATGCTAACATTTGATAACAGCTTAAAGTACAGACAAGTTCCATTCCTTGTCTTATAGTAACTAACTTGAATGGATGGTGGCAGCTGCACTTTATCCTTCAACCTTTCTATCTGTCTACTATTCTAGCACTCTTCTACCTCTTACTTTCTACTCTTCTAATCTCCTCCTTGATCTCAGTTTCTCCCTCTCATTCTAAACTTTCCCTTTTCCCTGACTACTAGATCCTCATACCTCCCTTCTACCTCTCTACCTCCCCAAACCCCATGAGATTCTTTAGTTTTTATTTCTATTTTTTCCATTTCACTTCTGTTACGTTACAAGAGTGGACAAAGACAAACTACTTAGCATGGGCGGAACACGAACAAGGGGACACAGGCGGAAACTTAGTACCCAAATGAGCCACAGAGACATTAGAAATTTTTTTCAGTGTCAGAGTAGTTAACAAGTGGAATGCATTAGGCAGTGATGTGGTGGAGGCTGACTGCATACACAGTTTCAAGTGTAGATTTGATAGAGCCCCATTGCTTCCAAAATCTGTACACCGGTTGATTGACAGTCGAGAGGCGAGACTAAAGAGCCAAAGCTCAATCCCCACAAGGACAACTTGGTGAGTACAACTAGGTGAGTACAGCATGGTGTCTCATTATTGTGTAACAATACATATTGTGTACATACAGTGTACATATTGAGTGTACATACTGTAGTGTACATATTGTACATATGTACATACTGTATTGTAGTGTACATATTGGGTACATTTGAATTTGAACACTTAATCTTGTTTGGATACTGTACATTCAAGTTCTCTGAATGCATTGTGGTCTACTCCTAGGGATGGTATGCATGGAATTTTGATCCTAGCCAATACATCTATTGTTACTTGCAGAGCTGGATCCTCTTATGATCTCAGTATTGTATGTACTAGCTCTATCTATAAATCCATCAACGTTTTGTATCTCATCTTGTATGTATGTACTTTACCTGAATAAATATTTGATTTGATTTGATTTTGATTTGATTTGAACAGTATTGATCTCACCAAGAGTGAGCACTTTAGGGACTGTATCACAGGTTACAGAGTGTACATATATATTCCTCAGCAACTTGCTGATGCTTAGTGATGGTGAAGCTGTTGACTGGATGTCCACTGATGTAATCAGCAGAGTTTCCAGCACCTGGCTTGTACTTCACAGTAAAGTTGTATGGTTGTAGACAGCCCATCTCTCTGTGAGTTAGTGGTTTGGACTTTAGATTATTGTAGATGATCTCTAATGGCTTATGGTCTGGGACTGTTGTGGTAAAAGGGGCACCAAGTAGATACACATTGAAGTGTTCACAGCCCAATACAAGAGCAAGAGCTTTGTTCTTTGTCTGACTGTATTGTTCTTCAACATTGGTGAGATAATTACTACCATAAGCAATTACTGTTCGGGAATCTGACCGACGAGGTTGGTGCTGGGCTAAAACAGCACCTAAACCCATGGAATTAGCATCCATGGTTAGCTCAGTGCCCAGTGATGGGTCAAAGTAAGCAGTAGTTTCATTCTCATAAACAAGCGCATCTTTCACAGCATAAAATGGGTGTTGCTCAATGTCGCTTCAGTACCATGAAGCATTATTTTAGAAGCTCGCATAGAGCTTTGGTAATTATAGTGAAATCTGGAATGAAGCAAGAACATTAAATTGCCATTCCCAGAAAACAATGTACATCAGTGGACATTGAAGAAGGTGCAGCAGTCTTGATTTCAGCAATTTAGAATCTGGAGAGAGAACTTTTTCACTTAGCACATGTTCAAAAAACCAGCGTTGAATGTAATGAAATGCCATTTTCTGGGTGAGTCCCGGAGGCTCCCCGGAGCTCCCCCAGAAAATGAAGTTTCATGTTGATTAAGCTCACACCTTATTTAGCTTAACATCTGATTCTTTCCTCATAAGCATTGCAATGTTGCACAAAGAACGTCATGTTCAGCTTGGAAACAGCCATAAGCAGTGATGTCGTCAGACATGGTGTCAGCATTAGGTATGTCCTGCAGTAAATGACTAATATGCTGGAATACCTCAGCAGCACTTAATTAATACCAAAATTCAGGCACTCATACTTATACAAACATCAGTATGTC